ATATACGAAGGTTTCATCCATTTGCTTAAAATTTATTATAAATTCTGTATACAATAATATTTCTAATTGTTAATTTAACGGACGTAACATTAATTAGATTAATTATTAAAAGCCATTACAGAAACTTGTTAATTATATTGTATCTTAACATGCAAAATTTGCATAACAAATTTTAGAACATCGCTTCTCATTGTAGTAAATTTAACAAAAAGAAACTGAGAGGCAGATAGTACAAAATATTTTGTTAAACTTTAAGATCCTCTTGATACATAATACCACAAAGTTTATGTTTTTCCCTTCCTCCTCCTCCTCCTCCTCTCTCTCTCTCTCTCTCTCTCTCTCTCTCTCTCTCTCTCTCTCTCTCTCTCTCTTTCTCTTCCTCTTTATTCTCTCCAACAAGATCGTTCGTGTATTTCAAGACACAAAGCGAATTTTATTTTCAGAGCTCGTAATCCTGCAATGTTTTCATGCAATATCTTCACGATAAAAAACTCTTCGAAACTCACAAGAATTATTTTCCACTTCGTATATCACAGTAGAGAAATCACGTGTCAGTTGGGAAACAATCGCGAAGGAGAGAAGTATTCTCTCTATTAAGAAATGAGTGATGTAAGGAGGGTTAAAAATTTTGTCGTGTAAAACCACTAATTTCTCTCTTTCTCTCTTGTTTTCGAGAGCGCTGAACCCGAGAATCTTTTGCCATTTTCACGCCTTTCTGATAGCACGATCGCTGTCTGTGGTACATTATGGACTCATCGCCCAGCTCGTTAACCCTTACTCGGAGTCGCGCAAAGAAATGACTTCTTTTTTAGGATCGTTTCAGCGACATCGATTTTAGATAAAGTCAATGAACTGACGCGAATTTCTGACGCCAATGGCAACTACAGACAGGACCAGTGCAAAAGATCCATGCTACTGTTTGGACAAATTAAATAGCATCGACTGCCACCGCGTTTATACCATCTGTGACTTGTCTTCAATCTTTCTCTTTTTTTTTCTTTTAGCCGTACACTCATTTTCAGCTGTGTCAAATCCTGCCGCAATCTATCAAGTTCTGTCAAATAGTAAACCTCCCATTGCCGAGATTTGTGCGATTTTTAACGCAGTATATTGCAATCGTGCAGAATAGACGAAAAGAATAAAAAGAAACAACTAAATACTTACTTTTTGCACGATGTGCAAATGGCGTCGATCAATTGGCATCGTATCCTTGAGAAAATAATAATAGACGAAGGCAAGAAATATCGAGGACGATGGAGTGAAGTAACTGAATATGGAGTTCCTTATAAAGGTCAATGAGAGGATTACGTAGAAAATTGAACTTAGTGATATAGAAGAGATTCTTGTACGATAAGCTGTCACGAATACTGATTTGATTCGATATCTTTGAGAAAAAAAAGTGATAAAGCAAATTATCTGATATCGCGATGAAGTGAAAATCAGATGCAAGGGAGAAAAAAGGGCAGCACACAATTGAACTTCATTTTACTTATTACGACGGAAAAGTAATGGAATTGTTCGATTACCCTTGGTAATCATGCAGAAGTAGGAATCGAGTAAATAGATTTGTCGCTTGTTTCGAAAGCAATTGTGATTACGTCACCAGCATCTATCGTGTTGTTTATTTCACTTTGTTATTTCCGCTATTTTCTCATTACTCACTATCGGCCGCCGTTCGCATCTACCTTACTTCTTTACCTTATTGCCGCGATCGCTCGAGAAGGACGTAATTTCTGTGCTCCGAGAGATGCTCTATCGATCTATTTGCTCGGTTATAGAGCAAGCATTGCTGATGCGGCATCTGAAATTCGTGGTGCCCAATTTGCACACGGGATTAAGCACGCAAAAGAGCGGTTATTGTGTCCGTTGGCGCGAGTTTATCATGAAATATTAAAGCGCGAATCACATTCGCTGAAGAAATTGCGACGCGATGTTAACGGAATATGACGGACGTGAAAAAATAAAAAGATAAAACCGTTCATAAAACCGTAGACTACGGATCCCTTTATCTACCATTTACGTCTGAAACGTTCCGGGCGAACAATCCGAGAGATTGGTCGACAATTTATTATACCGTAATAAAATCACGCTCGCCACTTCTTCTTTCCTGCTACCAAGTGATAATCGCGCTGAGAACTTGCGAAATCAGCAAGCAAGCTCATGCGACGCGCTGAAAGGTAAACAAATTGCTGTATGCAGGGAGCTAAAGGCCATTTTACTCGATTTAAAATGCGCGACAGAATTTCTAGAAGAGAATCTACTATAGAATTTTATTCTAAATTTTGTTAATATACTGCGTAGAATTTTTTATTTTAAAGATATTCTTTACATGAGAGAATTATGAATATAAAATTCTGTTACGAATTCAATTGCGAATTATAGTTCATGTAAAATGAATCTAAACGCTGCAGAAACTCATAAACATGGAGACAGAGAGAAATAAAAGGTACCATGGATAGTATAAATTGCGAGCATTTGCTGATTCTAGTAGAAAGAATAAATGTAACAAGACTATTCTTTGTTGCTCCTCAAATTAAATTTGATGCGACACAGCTAACTGTTCTTGATACTATAAGAGAAAATCCTCGACGAACCTACAGAGTACTCCAAAGTAGTTTTAAAACACTTTGTATAATGAAAATAATAACAAATTGGTAAAAGGACTCGGCTTGTGCATTTGTTATATGATAAACAGTCTGAAACCTTAAATCGTAAAAAATTTATGATCTAAAGATAAATTTAGAATATGTATTTTAACTCAAGCGATCCAATCTTTATTTATCTAATTGGTTTCTCGAGTTATATACAATTTATGACGTCTTGAAATAGCTAAATATAAATTATTAAATACTTGTACCATCTTTGAGTATGTTTTTTCTTGTTATGAATTAATGAAGAAAAGATTTATTTGT